TAGGTTCACGAAACGGTCGTCCATAAAATGCATTGCTGTTCTGTTGTAAGTAATCTTAAAGATTCCTAAATGCATCTACTTTCGGAAGGCCAAATAAAGTGCTTTTGCTTTCGCCTAGAAACACACAGCGTCTCCCTGACATGGCTGCTTCAACACTAACTGCGGTTACTGAAACCACGCCTTCTTTCTTTGCGTGCACATTTGGGCCGCATTATGCAAATATTTCCACATAGTGACCTAGATATGTGGGGGCGTGTTAGAATGAGCCGTTTTAGGGGGGCGTGGCAGAGTCTTAACTTTGATAAAGAATATCTCTTTGGTTTTGAGACTTTAGTCTTTGCAACTTCAGGGATCTTAGCTATGCACAATCAGCTTGTAACACTCCAAAGAGAACTTGAAATCGCATCATATGACCCCTTTAAAGACTGCAGAGGTACCAAAGCATGTGCTGGATAATGTCACAGTATGTCACTTTGTTTCTTAGAGGAATCTTTTCCAGATCATACAACTCTGAAGACACTACCGATTGAAGATGATGGTTACTTAAATTTCAGTTGGCAGTGAAATGCAATGATTCTCAATACAAATGAGCAAAAAATGTTAATGAACACTTTATTCTATATTGAAAACGTTAAATATATTAACAATTTTATATTGTAATATTTATGTATGATATAAAATATATATTTTTTAAATATCATCTTTATATATTTTGTGCACTGGGGCACTGGGGTCATAAGATTTACAATGTTTTATAAAGAAGGCTCTTATTGCTCACTAAGGCTGCATTTATTTGATCAAAATTACACTAAAACAATAATGTTGTTAATTATTATTACAATTTAAAATAACTGTTTGTATTTTAATATATTTTAAAATGATATTTATTCCTTTGATTATAAGGATGAATTTCCAGCAGCCATTACTCCAGTCTTCAGTGTCACATGATCCTTCAGAAATCATTCTAATATGCTGATTTGGTGCTCAAGAAACATTTCTTATTATTTATGTTCTAACAGTTGTGCTGCTTAGAATTTTTGTGGAAACATGATAATTTTTTTACTCGGGATTCTTTGATGAATAAAAACTTCAAAAGAACAGCATTTTTTGTTTGAAAAAGAAAACTTTTGTAATATTATAAATGTCACTGTTTATCAATTTATTCTTATTGAATACACATAGTAAACAGTCTATAATAAAATAAAAACCAAACAGCAATATAACAAAGACATAAATTAAGTAAATAGTGTTTCTGGTATCTAGAAGTGGAATCAAATATTCAGTTTAACATTCATTTATGTTTTTACATTAATATTTTGGAAAGATGGTAATTCTGATCAAAGAAGTGCATTTGAACATTTATGATGGTCTGTGTGCCGTTTTCAACCTCAACACTCATCTTAAAATGCAAATTGTAGGTGTAAGGATTTTTTGTCACGCAGAGTGCTGTGTGAAAAAACAAAGATGAGTACAGAAATGTCTCGGCTTGTCGTGCAGGTGTGTTTGCAAACAGAAGCAGAGGGTCTGAGATCAGAGCTGAATGCCTGTTGTGAGAGAGAGAAGATGCTGACACAAACACTGCACTCTTGAGAGAGAGAGACTGACCCAGGACGTCCAGGAACTGATCACACAGCTCAACAGCACCAGAGAGAGAAACAAACAGCTTGTGTCAACCCTTAACAACCAGCGGGTACAAATCACACACAGCCTACCAATGAAGAGTTTTAGAACATCTGTTTGGTTATATGAACATGTGAAGCAACAATAAAAACCTAGTTTGATTTATGATTAAATAAAGTGATGTGTAGTGTGATATCTTTAGATTGCAGTCATTTTTGTCTATGATTGTAGTTTGATTTTCCATGTTATTATGGTGCTGTTTGTATGGTAGGAGAGCTTGTTGGCAGAACTACAGACCAGCAGAGAAGAGCTTGAACGATTTCGAGAGAGTGTGTCTCTTACCCTCAGCCAGCTCAAGACTGAAAAGGTTTCATGTTTTATTCTGTTCTTATTATTTTATTTTTATTATTTGTTTATTCAAACATTTTTCTATTAGAGTTTTTCATAAGATCATTATCTTTCTAGAGATAATGTGGAATCCGTACACTGTTACCAAACTTTAAAAGCAAAGTGTGTAATTTCTGTGCTGTAGAATTGCTAAAATAGTGGCTCTTTTTCATAAATACTATCTCCTGTCTGGCATTGGCTAGACAAACAGATAGTCCCGCCCCCAAACTCACACCATTGGTTGAGCCAGTGTTGTTATATTGTGTCACTGGGAGGCTTAAACAAACAACAATCTTTTAAAAAGGTTTTTATACCTTTTTGGGGCAATCAACCTACACATTGCTTGTTTCTAGTTGTCTCTGGATATTAAGGCATAGGATAAAGATAACACTAACAAAATACCACACCTTTATTGGAGAATGAAATTAGATGTGTGTTGCCCTTTATTGGTAGATTGAGTGAACTGCAGTTTAATTTCGTTTTACAGGCTGAACTGATGTCACACTTACAAGACATAAAAAGTTCCTATGAAAAGGTAACCTAAGACATATACTACCAATCAAAAGTTTGGGGTTGGTAAGATATGTTTATGTTTTTGAAAGAAATCTCTCATCAAGCATTTATGTGATGAATAATACATAAAAAAAATAATATTGTGAAATATTATTACAATGTATTTTAAAGTGTAATTTATTCCTGTGATGGCAAATCTGAATTTTCAGCAGCCATTACTCCAGTCTTCAGTGTCACGTGATCCTTCAGGAATCATTCACAGGAATCATAAACAAAGGACGAGTGTTTGGCATGTGTAACTGTTTCTACAGGTGTGCTTGGAAAATGCTGGTTTGAGACAGAAACTCAAGTCATTTTTGAGGGAGATCAACTCGGCACCCTTTACAGAATGCAGCAGTCCAGACACAAACACTTCACACACACATGCAGTCACAACGAATACTGAGATGATTGTTGTTTCACACCATGCGTCTCAGCAGCGTCCTGCAGGTGTCACACAAGGCAAGAGATCCATATATTCTCTTTTTCATCATTTGAAAAAACACCTACAGCATCTACATCAGCCTTATTCATTATTCAGTGTTTAGGCTGTAGATAACCTTTTAATGTTAATGACGTTGTTTTTGGCATGTCAGCAGAAAGTGAATGCTGCTTTAGTCAGTGTGAAGGGTTTCAGCATCCTGAAACCAATCTAAAACCACAAACAAGAGCAACTTTGAACAGCCTCTGTACAAACCTCAAAACCTCTATAAGCAGTTGTGAGCATCTGTTGATCAAACAAACATATGCGCATGTGTCACGAATCCTGTCCATGGACTTCCATTCAATCACCACCAGAGGTCATGTATCTTATGAATATGAGTTTATAGGAGTTATATTTGACTGTCAGAGCTTATGTAGTGGGTTCTGTGTTGTTTCTGCAGGAGGAGGGAGCACAGTCTGTTACTGGATGTGATGCTGGTTCTGTACAGCAGAGAGTGGTTTCTGCAGGATGCCATACCATACGTCAGACGTACACTCAGGAAGTGTGGACTGAGGCCTGAGGATATAGACTAAAGACCGTACTTGTGTGTGAATGAGGGAGGTGGAGAGTAAAAGTTATTCTGTATGAATCATAGTTAAAGGCATAGATCACCTAAGAGTGAACAATGCTGTCACTGGGGCCACATCCTAAGGTACAAAAGCTAAAAGGTAGATCTTTGTACCTTATTTACCCATAAATTAATTCCTTAAAGGTACATATCAGTACTTTTAAGTACATGTTAGCTCCTAAAGTGTACATACTAGAAAGTTTTGAAAGGGTACAACCCCAATTATCTTTTTTTTCTGAGAGTGTACAATGTATGGATAAAGAAGCATTCAAGATTAGAAAGAACTGTAAAATTATCATAAAAGTTGCACATAGAACCTTTGAAGTCATACAATAGCTTTATGTGAGTAAAAGACCAACATTTAAGTTGTTACTCACTGAAAATATTGGAATCATCTGCCCATGGGAGAAGATGAGAGTTCATGAGGCAAAGTGTTATGAATGAATTGTTCTTATGATTCAATTATCACACTGCAGTTAACATAAAATATTGAAAGATTATCAATAAATTACTTAAATCTTAGTTTGTTTCTCACACTAAGCTATCGTATGACTTCAGAAGAGTTTGAATATAGTGCATGAGTCATATGGACTAGTTTTTATGATACTTTAATGATGCTTTTCCATCTTTTTTTGAAGATTAAAGGCTTCATTCCCTATTGCAACTGCTTGCAAAAGAAACACCAGCACATGTTCATGTTCTATAGAGGAAACAAAGTCATCACAGGTTCGAAAAACATGACAGTGAGGAAATGATGACTGAAATGTGCTTTTGGGTGAACTATTTCTTTAAGTGTTCTCATTTTAAAACTGACATGATAATATATTTAACTTAACTAGGGGAACAGTAAAGAAAAAGCAAGTGCTGCTAACAAAAGTAATGAACTTGACACCCAGAGTCATCATGTTCGTATCATATCATTTCAGTTATTTAATGCAAGAATTAAATTTGGAATACATTTAAAATCCAGCTGAAAATGCGTTCAACCAAAAGACATGTAGACTATTAAATGAACGTTTTATGAGTTTATTTATTGTTTTTGTTTTGATATTTTTTCTCCACAGTAACACAATGAAAAACCAAAACCTATATCTGTTTCTATCACACCGTGTAGTTATAGAGTTATAGTACTGATGATGAATTTTGAATTGTAGGCTGTGGTTTACTGTATCTGTGTCAGTATTTAAACACTGATGTAGTCACTCTTGCAGGTATTCAGGGGTTCTTGGCTGTGGCAGAGGCTGGTCCTGCGTAGGGGATGAATGTAGGACCAGTCTCTGTCTCTTTCTCTGTTCCTCTTTCTCTCCATCTCTTCCTCCACCTGCAGTGCACCCTTGTTCTTCCATTTCCTGAGCTTGCTGCTGCAGCGTGATATATCTGTGCTCTGTGGCCTTGAAAATTCATCATCATACTCATTCTCGGCCTCCTCTCCCTCCTGCAGTGTGTCCTCCAGAATGCTAGGAGGCAGTGCTGAGCCTCTGTGATTCAGATTAACTGCCTCGTATATCTGGCAAGTTGGTGAGCTGGGCCTATATAGAGACCTCGGCACAGGTCTGGCTTTAAACACCCTTCGTTCTGCTTTGGGAGTTAGGTTGTTTAGCTCATCCACTAGTTTCTTCTCTCTTTTCTTTCGCTCTCTTTCAATGAAGCTAAATGGCTGTTGTGGAAGAGAAGGAGTTTGGTGTTGGGAGCCTTGTTTGTGGTGGTTTCCATGGTGACCGTGATCCATTTGGTTGATTTGAATTTTTTGTAGCTGGAGCTTTTTTGGGTGCTTATTGATTATGTCATAGAAAAACAAATGCGTGGAGGCGGGGGCCGGCTTCTTGCTACATTCTTTCAGCTCGTCCAGTTCATTCTCCAGTCTCTCGTTTTCTAGTTCCATCTCAGAGCAGGTTTTCAAATTGCGTCGTTTGCGATCCTCTTCACGAAGCATCATGTGAAACGGTTTGGGAACGGTTACTTTGGAATTCTGTCTCAGGCTGTCCATCCCCTGATTGGCTGCACTGTGAGATGAGTTCTGCTGAGAGTGCGACAACTTCCTTTGGTCCTCTAAAAAATTCTGGCGAGCCTGCTTTAAAAAATAATTAATTAATTCAATTTTTGTACTACTGTTCTCTCCAACTCTTTGTACCAGTTGTGATTCAAAATTAAATGCAGTTTTGCTTTTTAAATCAGAACAACAAAAAGATTTACCATTCCCCTTAATATTCTAAATAATATGTGATGTGATATTGATTTCAGTAATGTGCAATACATACATACATATCTGGAAAAAAAAAATGGTTTAGGGTTTCATGACCCTTTAAGAATTATAATTTAGAGCAGTTCTCAACTAGGAGGCCTCAGTGAACTTCCAGGGCCCAAATAAATCTTACAATTATTAAAATGTATTTATGTTTATAAATTTAAATTTTTAAAATAAACATGTACAATATTAAATTGACATATTTTAGATTTTATTGATTTCCATTACAACAGAAATACATGTTAGCTTGGACAGAGACTTTGAATATTGTTTTGTGACAAAGTTGGACCTTTACAGTGGGGTCTTTTTTCCCCTCAGTTTTATTATATTCAGTGTTTGTTTTTGTTTTTTTACAAATTACATTATCAGCATAACATTTTGAATGACAAAAATTTTTCTGAAGTATTAACAGCAATTTCAGAATGTCAGTATTTGGTTTGTCCCCCTTTTGCTTTAATAACAGCAATACTTGAGCTGCATGACCTCCGCAAGTTTGTATAACACCTGACCTGATGATCATATTATTCAGCATGATTTGAGGATGATCCAAAGAGCATCTTGTGCTTCAGTGGAAGCAAGATCATCTGATCGTCCGTATAAAAGAGGTTCACATGAAGTTACAAATTTGCTTATTTGATTAGTGACCTTTACACTCAAGAACTGTTTGAATCTCTCAGCTCCTCCTGCATAACCACAAAGCATCTGAAAGTAACCATGTGCTGACTCATAATGGTATTTTCAGTGGAAACTGTCTCCGTTCTTCATATAAGTTACTATTAAAGGCCACTGAATGTTGCTGAATAAATTTAGACTGGTGACTAATTTGAAGGTTTTTGTAATGCACATATTTATAATGTATCCAAATGTCCATATCTGTGCACCATAACAACCTTCAGTACACAAAGTACTTTTAATGACAAAATGCTTTTCAGGCTCTTAAAAACAGCTTGTTCAGAATGATGTGCACTTTATACACAACTATAGTTATGTCTGTTTTCTGAGAGTGTTAAAAAACAACTCCTTGAGGACATTCATCTCAGGTCTCATCTTCAGACTCATTCATTCACTGACCTTTAATTTCAGATGAGAAACTCCATTCTTCAGATGGCCCACTGATGCCTTGCTCCCAACCTGGATGAGCTCCACCGGTTCACTAACGAAAGAGGTCAAAGGTCAGGGATCAAACGCCATGTGTTTAATGAGGTTTTATAGGAACAATTTAATGAAGAAAGGAATCAATTTTCTAGTTTTAAGTAGTTGAATGTTTGAAAATATAATTTTTCATTGTAATTTATTTCATTTTTAGCCACGATCGCAGACCTCTCTGTATCTTCTCCATTTTGTCTTCAGCAAGTAATGAGCTGTCTTTCTCTCTGACCAGGTTTGATCTGGCTCAGGTAGAGTTTTTCCAGCTCAGCTATGTTTCTCAGGTGTTCTCTCTTCAGCTCCTCTAGTTTGGTGTAGTATTCTTGTTTGGAGAATGTGGGTCCCTGCAGATGAGGGGCTGCACAAGGCTTCCCATAGTCAACATCAGAAAGAGAACTCAAATCAGACTGCAGCTCACACACCTGAGAAACCGAAAACAAGCAAACCGTAAGCAAACTACTGTTCAAATGGTAAATTTGAACTAAAATGACCTCAAATGTTACAGTACAGTATAAAAAAGAATATCAAGTGGTTCTTCCATTACTGAGTATCTGTATCAATTCATCTGGAAATGCTTAATGACGAGGTGAATTAGTCTTTTACATTGTACAAGTCAGATGTCTACCTCTGTGTGATGAACAATATCATTCAGGGAGCATGAATAATCCTTCTCCTCTCCAAACAGAGCCTGAAGTTCACTCGGCTGCAGCCTCTCTGTGCGCAGTATCGGAGTCATGGTCCAGGTACTTTATTCTTCAGTACAGCAAAGCTCGTGAATTTGCTTTCATATAGCTCCAGATAAGTATTTCTCTGCTTCCTTTCGCCTCTTGATTTCATTAGCTCCTCTCATAGGTGTGGACTGTCACACTACAGTAGGTTAGGATTTCTCACCACCCACATACACACTCAGATGTGCCACAGTTTATCCCTGTAGATAAGCCCCACAGGGTCACCGTTTAGAGGTCCATGCCTGTTCTCCATATGTCCCATATATTCTTTAAACCCTGATTTACACCTTCAAATGTGATTTAAAGTGAACTGTCCCATTCCAAACCTCAAATCAGATTTAGAGATTAACAACAACGTCAATTACACTGTTGGCAACCCTTGCGAGACAAATAAGCAACCACAGCTTCAAAAATAAGCCCAAAACAAGCCCAATATTAATTGATTATTTATTATCATCAATATTATTTATTATCAACAAATGAGCCTGCAACCTATTAAACTGACACCACTCTTTTATTTGAAAAGCAAAAACAGAATTTATTTTACAAAAATTAGCAAACTGCAACAAAGCGGGAGCACAGACTATCCACTCATCTCCAATCAACTTTGAGCAGAATAAGATTGAAGAGATGGAAAAGAAGAAAAAGGCAAGAGCTTTAAGAGGGAGCTGTAACATAGCCACATATTTAAAGCCTAAAAAAATATATTCAAACTGTTTTTATTAGCCTGTGATAATTAATTACAAAAACATTGTAAAAATGTACCTTATAAAAGAAAGTCATCTCATTCCTCTATTATAAGTCTACTATCAGATTTTCCAAACAAGCGATCATATTTTTTTTAAATAAGCCCAAAAGACCTCAACCCACGACCCAGGATTTTTTTCACGCAATTTAACAAAAAAAGAAGCCCAGAGTCGTGTATTATAAGCAGACTTGGCAACTCTGGTCAACAACAGCATGAGTCCAGGAATGTGAAAAGGTTCCGCTAAAGGTGTTTGGAGAATTTCTTTTGTTTTGTTGCAACTATCACAGTAACAGACATTAAACATGATAGCACTATTGAAAACTCTACAGAAGCCCATTTCCACCTCAGCATAAAATAAATAGAAAATAAGTAATATATAGAATATCATTTCTCATAATTGCAATTTGATAACACAATTCAAAATGATCTCTTATGATATCATTTCTTGCAGTTAAGTCTGAAGTCTTGCCGTTTATTTCTCCCAATTGCAACTTCATTTCTCATGTTTGCAGCTTTTTATCTCACAAGTGGAACATTATTTCTCACAATTGACTTTCTTGCAGTTAATATTTTGCAATTCTAAGTATATTTATTGTAATTAAGACTTAATTTCTCGCGGTTGCGACCTAATTTATCATAATTGCGATTTCATATCTTACAATTGCATCTTTATTTCTCATAATTGCAGATTTGTATCTCACAGTAAAAAAAAATTCACAATTGTGACTGTCTTAAAATGTGACTTCACATCTCGCAATTGCAAGTTTATTTCTCATGATTGAGACGTTCTTTCTAACAAATGCAACTTTATTTCTCATAATTGCCATTTCATATCTCATAATTGCACCTTTTTTCATAATTGAGGCTTTGCATCTTAATATTGTGACTTTATGCATCATAATTGTGGCTTGATATCTCACAATGTGACTATTTGTTTTTTTAAACCTTAACGCACAATTGCTAGTTTTACTCTGTGGCTTCATATAAAACTGTCTACCTAGTGAATGCATGTGTTTGTTTGTGCTGTTAAAATCTGTGTGTATGTGTTCAGGGTTAATCAGTTTATTGCAGAAACCTGTGTTCACGCTTTTACAGCTAACATACAGCTGACACTTCAATCTGCCAACCCATCTGCTACCACAAATAATAACAAACACATGCACACAACAACCTAATTCCTACATTTTAACTTTCTTCAATCTTTGTAAAAAAAAAAAAAGGATTCATATGTCATAACATTATCCCATGCAACTCATTCTGTATTCCAAGTGTTCTGAATGCATATGGTAGGGTTTGCCAAGAAACAAATCGAAAATGTTATATACTGTATTAATTGAAAATCTCCAGTCATCGCATTCGTGCATTTGTATGAGAGCACACAAGCAAGTCATTCTGAAACATCAAGACAAATAAAATCATGACACGAAACACGATACTTTCTTCTCTGAGGTTAATATATCCGTTCTGAGACAATCGGACAGGATTATACAGCCTAGAAAGTGCGCAAAGAGTGCTCCCTCTATAATCACTAAAAGCTGTTATTCACTTCAGTTCATCGGGAATGAAGCTGTCTGCACTGCACAATGAATCTCTTCTTAACATCTTTTTTGCACGTTTTTATAATAAGAGGATTCGCGAGCTTGCAGAACTCAGCACTTGACAAAAACTCTGCATTTTGAGCAGTGAGTGAACATTTGATGCTCTCCAGAACACAAATACACACTGGAGCGTTTGCCAAATTTGTTTCGCCAATATCAGTTGGGGCCCCCTGATTCCCTGGGGCCCTAAGCGGCTGCTTACCTTGCTTATTGGTTAATTGGCGATTGCTAATTCTGACACCCTGCGATTTACTGGATAGACTTTTACTACAAGGATTTCTAAGTCAGGTGTCTTTTCTCTGTAACTCCCTCTAAACTAGATTGCCAGGTTGTGTGCATTAAATGCAGAAAAATACTAAATTTATTTTATGCAGCTGAACACATATTTCATATTGTCCACAAGGGGGCTATGTTGTTCTTAAGTAGTCACACTGATGTTGTGATTTGCTATGTGGAAGTGAGACAGAACACTGAACCAAAGGAAGATTTTAATTGCTGTTAGGTTTAGAGTTGAAATGCACCTTGTGAAAATACTTCTTTATCTGTCAGTTATTACATTAGACATAAGCAGAAGTTTGCCTCACTTCTCATTAGATTAGATTAGATTCATTTGGTCATTGCTGATGGTTGATCAGTCTATTTGTTGCAGCATTACTCTTAAATACATGTGCACTTTTCACAAAGTAAACCATGTGATTATGAGCATTGTATGGCTTCAGTTTCAGTTGTTTCATTCACCTTCCTTCCTCTTTCTGCACTTCCCCACATGTGTCAAATCACACTTGCGTCAGTGTGACTTATAATCACAAGTTCCTCACACCAGTGCTCTCATACAAATGTGTGAGAGTTTTCCTCTGAAGGTCATGCAATCCAGAGTACATTAGTCAATGATTTGCTAGATGCCTTACTCAAGGTCAGCTATGAATAACGGAAAGTTACGGAATGTGTTGATAGGCTTGTGTAGACCCAGAAGAGCACTTCACAAACACACAGTCATCTGTACCATAATAGTCCGGTACCATAATGAGGTGACTGACTGCTTCTCCTCCTTCAACATCATCTGGGTGGAACGTCACTGTTACGTCACGTGTGCCCCTGGACAAGACTGTGTGATTTTCTTGTTCTGATCTTGATATGAAAGAGCCCTGTGTTCTGTAAAAGGACAGTTTGTGTAAACAAGTCTTGCTCCCACTGCAGCCAAACATGTATGAATGCATATGTTTAACTTGGAAGTGTGAGCGTCAGTGGAGAGTCAAGATCTTGCTCTGCTATAAATCTTTGGGGTCAGAAAGCACTGAAAAAAACACTTTCTTAATCAGTATTTGTGTCTTGTATGCCAGTAAAAATATCTAAAAATCCTTAAAACTAGGGGTGCTCCGATTGATCGGCTACCGATCACTATCGGCCGATAATCACGTTGGGATGATTGATCGCGGTCTCTAAAAAGGCCGATCTCAAGCTGATGACTGAGAGGTTTGGCACGACATGCAGCGGCACCGTCTCAGTCTCTGTCCGGCTCGTATGAAATAATTATAATGCTGAAGGTGAGGTACTCACCTTCATATTTCTTCATTAAATAACTTTGAATTACTAAAAGTAATTTGAAAACCTTGTGTGAGATCAAACAGCGTGAGTCAATCACCGCGTGCGCTTTCTCTCTCAAAATACGCAAATGGCTTCAAATCACACATTGCATCTATCTATAAGCGAGCTGCACGCTGCACAGTTAAAGTATTAAAGTAATTAAAGTAACAGCGCATTGTTTGCAGTAAATATGAACATGGATTGACACAAAAATGTAGTAATTACACCATAAATACATATTATTAAAGTCTACTGTGTTTCACAGTCAACAAATATGGCTTTTTGGCTAGGTTTAAAGGGAAAGAGCACTTTTAGATAAAGAAGACAAAGATGGCCCTCGTGCAGGTAAAACAAAGTTCTTTATGAAACGCAGGTTGCTTGTAATAAAGATTTCAATGCAAAAGAAAAGGCAGTAGAGCTGACTATTTCTGTCAATGGTAAGTTTGTGATAACGTAAGAAAAGTAGTTTAAATGTTTTGCCACTTGCTTGAGCAACTTAATATATAAAGTAAATGCAAAAGTAAAAAGCATTGCATAATGTGTTGCTTATATTTATTGTGTTTAAACATGTCTGTGAAAGATTCTATTACTGTACTGTGTAAAAAAAAAAAGAATTGCAATGCTGAAAA